AGTCGACTAGACCCGCACATCCCTAATATATATATATATATATATATAAATACACACACAAACACATATATACAGAGTTTTGGCATGGAACTCTAGATGGCGCAGTCCGATAGGTCTATCTCAATCTGACCTAATGACATCATTATCACATGGCACAGCTGATTGCTTCTCTTCTGTATTAGTAGCCAATGAGCTCGCTGCTCAACATTCAAATATATGACTAGTGCTTGCCATAGCAGTTGCAGCACGCTTCAGAAACCCTCCACCTTCCCCAGCTCCACCTGTATAGATCTGCTACGAGGCTGAAATGGTCGCACTGTAGAGCCCTGTATGGGGTTATTTCATGTGTTATATTTGCAGCAGCAATATTTCTTACGTACCCACTGTATGTGAATAAAAATTACATTTGTTACTCTGAGGCTCTCTGCTCAATTGATAGTAATTGATCCTCACAGGTTGACGAGAGGAAGTTATCATCAGGCTGAAATAATAGCTGGTGTATTCTCTGAGCCACCAGGACAGAATGAAAAATGAAGAGATAGAGGTTCTACATCAGCTAAATGCCACCAGGAAGCAGCACACACACATATGATGGATTTAGTGAGAAGAGATTGGTCCCACAGGGAGCCAACCACACACACTCTCTCACCTGTCTCGCACGATGGCCCCGTCCACCCCGCCAGACATTCGCACTCATCCGGTGATGCACACTTCCCGCCGTTTTGACAGTGACGGTTGCACACCACTGTGTAAATGAAACCAAAACACATGCAACACCATATGTGACCATTAGGGGTGCAAGAGATTACGTTTAACATCCACATCCACATGAAATCCAAGCAAACATGATTTATCAGGACTCACTGGTTTCACATCTGGACCCTACGAAGCCATAGGGACATGAACAGATGTCTCGACCCATGCAGGTGCCTCCGTGCAGGCAAGGCAAACTGCAGAGAGCTGCGGGAATATTCATACGACCAAATGCACATAAAATAAATTCATATATCACAAAAAGCAAACCGCTAATTCATGCCTCATCAAGTCTGTGCAGATTATTTGGCTCTTGCCTCTTTATGGAAAGCACAAATGGTGCAGATTTGCTAAATGGTACCAAAAAACATAATACTTGAGGCCATCTGTATGCTATTTGACACAAAATTAACCTACACAGATATAAAATGGACAATAATTTTCCTGAACATAAAATGTGTATGCAAACATTTGTCAAATTAAATGCTCTCAAAACAATGTTGTCTCCTATTAAATTTATAAATACCACTCCAACTTGTAATAAAAGCAGCAAATCATGGTTCATAAACAAAAGGCTGTGATGTAAACAAAAGGCTATTGACCATTAAAAAAAAGCAAATCACGGTTCATAAACGAAAGGCTGTTACAGACAAAAAGCTACTGACCATTTTAAAAAAGACCAGAAAAACAGCACTTATCAAGCTTTGCACTTTTTACAAATTATTTACACTAGTGCTGAATGGCAATGAAATTTCAGTGCTCTTACCGCTTTCACAAGCCTCTCCATGGTAACCTGACATGCAATCACATACATCTGGTGCCACACATTTCCCTCCGTTCAGGCAGGCTGGACTGCAGATTGCTGTGAGAATCCAAAATTACGTTATTGAACAATTACGTTATTTAAAAAATGAGTCCTTGTGTATGTGATTGTATCGATGACCATATTTACAACATTATAAAAACTGGTGTGTTTTTGTTTGTGACCTGTTTCACAATTGGAACCACTGTATCCCTTCTTGCAGCGACACGTGTTGGGGGCCGCACACTCCATGTTTCTACCACAGGCATGTCTGCACACGACTGAAGGCACAAATGGCATGCAAACACAAATAACACATGGTCAGATTCACTCCGTCAAAAGACAAACACATATTTGCCTCCATCTGTGGCCCTGAAGCACAGGAAGCGAAGACATATACAAATTCTGTATGTACTATACCTATTTTAAATGTGTACATTTCACTTTTAATTAAAGCAAGTTGTTGTAAAAGTGCAGGTGACGCTAGTGTTATATTTTTAGATCATTACCATGCTTGCTGTTTAAGATTCACCCTAAGTTCTTCCTTCAAGCATTCTGAAAAATACAGGACTGATTTGAATAGTTGGGTATCATTCGCCACATAAACTTCCTGTTTATTTGAAAAGCTGTATCCACTGCTATATGCTTTGTAGAGTTCAACGCAAAACACCTGTGACTATTTGGTGCATGTTCACGCTATATTCATACCTTCAAAACAGTGCCTGAATATAATCCATGAATGAATAAGTAATTATTGTCCTGAGTGAATTTCAACATCGTAATGCAATATCATGGGATTACAACAGCAAACATGTTTGTAGTGATTCTTCCACCCACTGCTCCTAATTTTCTCAGGTTCACGAACCCATGGGATGGAGCTCAAGGAATGTATTTATTCCTTATGCCTAGAGCATGCTCGGGGAATGAGCTTATTGTTTACACCAGTTACTGTCAGATGTCAGTCTTAAACTCCACATACTGCACAATTTTCCATAGTCTAGACCTCAGAAGGTATGCCCACAATTTGTTCACTGACATTTTGCACATAAAATCAGCAATTACTATACAAATATTGGTAAGTTCAAATCAGACTAGATAGCTTTGCACCATTTCTGAGAGTCAGGGTTCACCATTTCGTCTGGGAACCTATAATCAGGAATGTACCGGTTTAATATAATAAGCAAAGTTTGCCAGGTTAGTGGCATCTAAATTATGGTATCAACTATTTCAGGTAAACCATCCCTGAAATGACATATGGCTGTTGACCATACTTGTCGACACTCTTAGAAAAAAAAGTGCAACATTTGTCACGGGCAGTTTTCTTAAAAGGGACAATTTTGTACCTTATTTACCTTCTAAAAGGTTCATAGTAGCACCTTAAGGGTACATATTACTGCTCTAAAGCCTTAAACACACTGCACGATTTTCGGCTGTCCCAGATGAAAGATTGGCATCGTGAATCAATCGTGGCAATTTCTGATCGTGGCTCCTAATCGGTGGTCCTGTGTCGTACAGTGAGAGAGGTTCAAAGATGGCCATTGTCACGATCTTGCGACCAAAGATAGCCTACGATACAGCATGATCATTGCACAGCGTGTTTGCTGGTACGATCCATGTTTACTGACCAACCAATAAAAATTCGACATGAAATCAATGCAACATGGCACTAAAACATAAAACAGCTTACCTCAAGCTCTTATCCCTTCCTCTTTCGCCGCTTCCACTTTTCAGCACACATAAAAAATACAACTGCTAAAGTGTGATTTATCATGCTCTTTTTGTTTACCACTAGCACATGCTGATGACATTTTATTCTTTTATAGTAATGTGCGTTGTATCGTACGAGTCAATAGGTGTCATCATCGTACATTCTACACACACATCGTAGCCAAGTTTACTAGATCCATGTCGCACAGTGAGACATGCAGTGATCTTATAGAATTGGTAAAATGGTGCAGTGTGTTTTGGGCTTAAGTTAATAATATACACATTTTAGGGGTGGGTAAGATACAAAGACGTAGGGTACTGCCCCAGTGAAAAGATTTTATAACCTTAAAGGTATAATATTAGCAAATTTTGCAGTGCAGGTTGGCAATTTTTGTTCAGACGTTTATGTCATGGATAAGTAAGTCTCTAATGTTGGACTTGCAGGGCTAACTCATCAATAAATACAAGTCATCTTGTACATCTAAAATTACCTCTGCACATTCGCCCATCTCCAGTGTACCCCAAAGGACACCGTCCACATCTAGGTTGCCTGTCCCCTGCAAGCTCACAGTGGACTCCTGGGAAGCAAGGGACATCTGCACAGGAGAAACTTCTCTCCTCTAAGAGAACCA